TAATGTTTTCTACGTGCAGTATTAAATTTTGGTAATTTTTATTTATTAAATTACCCCGCTATAACGAATATCTTTGCTGTTAACCAGATAATTCGTTATAACGGGGTCTTCGCTATAACGAAGACCCCGCTATAACGAACAATTTTTTCAGTACTTTGACACTTTCTTATAGCGGGGTTCCACTGTAGTTAAGACTGAGGTTTAAACAAGGGTGAAAGAATGGATTATCAGTACTGTCTTCTAGCTGGGACAAAAAGGGTGTACGTAGTAGAAAGGAGGCCATTTAAGTGAGGGAACATTAGTGGGGGTTCAACTGTGATACAATAATGAGAAAAGCAGCCACATAATTTATTAATTATAGTAGCATGACTTTATGCATTCCTTCCCTCCCCTCCCCCTCCCCCTCTTTTATTTTTTGGTTCTCGTTTCATTTCTCGCGCGATCAAAACCGAAAATCCCCTTCCACGGTCTTTTTTTGCGTCGAAACCAAACGGGAACGCTTGTTACGCAGGCTAGACTCAGTAGCTTGCGTTGCATCGTTTGATGACGAGGCCTCCATGGATACTTCTGGCTTTTGCACAGGTTTCTCTTCGATATTTTCGGTACCTTGTGCTATCTGCATAAGTACTACGAGGCTAAGAAAGCTATGGAAATTAAGAAACCTCATAGTGATCTGGTTATGAGCCTCAGTCAATGATTCTTACACTAAGTACCTACCTTTACAGCTATCAGCCGCTGCTCAAACAAAACGATGACAATAATCGGATCCTCTTACCCCTCCCTGACAGTAAATTATATGGACGGAAACTAAAAAAATCAATAACTATTTATTATCTCAAGGACAAAGTGTTCATTTTAAGTTGTTAAAAATTGCTTTGCTGTGTTATTTAACAAAGGAAATTCTTTTTTCGGTTTGAAACCACAGCTCCCCCCCCTACCCCTCTCCCTCTGCTTGTTCATCCTTTCCCATGAGTCTCCGTGGGCAACGACTTCCGCCTTTTCCGTCCCCTTTCCTCGGGCAGAAATTGACAAAAGTTCCCATAGGTAGAGGTAAGGAATGTTATTGAAGTTGTTTTTATTTTGCTCAAGCTTATCTGACCTGGTTTCGTTCTAGAAATTATATCTGATTATACTTTTAATGTCACAAGCGGCTGCAAAGAACCTGTTTTCCGGTGCTCTGAATGAAACACATTACACGCAGTGAGGCGACGAATGCTTGTTAAAAAAAGTTTAAGCTTAACTGATATTAGAACTATCAGTTCTTTTGGAATTTACAGTTCTTAAATGCAAACTACAGAAATCATACACGATTCACTTGAAAATTTCAAAACGTATGTTCATCGAAATACGAAGAAATTTTAATTCAAATAGACCTTGTCACGGTTTTCGACGCCATCTTGACGAGTAGGCAAACGCATTAGAAATTACAGTGTTTGTATGAGAATCTAATGTCGAATAATTTCCGTAAAACGGCTGTTCTGAAAAAAATATCTATTGTAAACTAAAGCTTCACTCCTAAGGATTCTCCTGAAAAAATTTGAGGGCGTTACATGCACTAGAAGACCTAGAACCACTTTTTACAATTTTCTATACGTTNACAATTTTTATTGCCCACGCGTTTTCCCACTGGCTCAAAGGGCGGCGAAAACGGTGGAAAGTGTAATTAAAGCCGGGGGCTTTCATGTGGAGCCGCGGTCCACCCCAACTGGGCTATTGCAATAAATATCCGTTCCCCCCCCCCCCCCCCACCCACCAGTTGAGGACTTGCCATTTCTTCTAGCCCCTGAAGATTTAAAAAAAATTCATTCACTCCTGAAGACGTCTATCAAATATGGGTTTACCCCTGAATAATATGGATCTGGCTACCCTTGAAGATTGGTCTACCCAGGGTTGTCATTAAGAGGCAGGGAGCCAGGGATTTCCTCCAGCTATTATGAACGAGGCACCCACCTACTTTGAAAGGTAAATAGAAGAAAAATTGAACCAAAATAAACCCCTAGCTGTTTCATTCCTGACAACTTGTTGTATTTACCCCGCAACTTGAAATCCGAGAGAGAACCCTTTAGCTGTCAACCCCTGAAGAATATTGGTGTACCCTGAGGAATTTTGTGGAAATTGAAGCTCCACCCCCAAAGAGTTCCATCCCTTTTTTACCCTTCCCTCTAAAGAAATCCTCAATTTTTATAGCTATAAATTACCCTTAACAATTCCATGGTTCCTCAATTAGGTGGGAGGGAAGGGGTGGGGGAAGGTCCTCAGGGTACAAGTATATTTAACAATTATTCCTCGAGCCTGAATGGACTATTGACTCAGAGACCATGAGGGTGAGAGGAATAATTATTGTTTTAGTAAAATCCAACTAGTTGGTCAAAAACATTGATCTACAAAACAACTTAAAGCAAGACTTTAATCCTTTTTTGCCGCCAAAAATCCGGCGCTTTTTGCTACAAGTGGGCTATAACATATAGCCTAGTAGTAGCTAGTAGCTCAACCAATCAGAATGCAGTATTGATAATAGACCACTAGCTGAATTTTACCAATAACAATTATTCCTCGAGCCCGAATGGGCTATTAACTCAGAGGCCATGAAGACAAGAGGGATAATTGTTTTGATAAAATGCAACCAGTTGGTCAAAAAAATTGAGACAAAAAAACTTTGGCTAGCAAAAACACATTTTAGGCGTCATTGTTTTGGTTTTCAAAGCTGGTGCGTTTCGCTACTAGTGGGCCATAACATATAGCCTCGTAGTAGCTCAACCAATCAGAACAGAGCATTGACAATAGACCACTAGTTGGATTTTACTAAAATGCAACAGCCCATATGCAGCTAGGTGCATATAAACTGCATGAGCTTAGTCTTCTGTATAAAAAAGTTCAAATGAGAAAACTTCACCTAAAAAATCACAGTCGTCAAAGTTGACCTCAGCCGAAACAAATGATGCTTGCGTGACTATAACATATTAGAATTAGATTATTAATTAGATTGCAGTAAGTGTAGTAGAAGTCATAAGAACAAAGAAAGATAAAATTAATGACATCAATGTAAAGAGAAAGAATATAGTTACATAAAAGCTAATTGAAGTAATTAAAAACCTCATAAATGATTTTCTGTTTCTTCTTCTGCAAAGCAACTAAGCTTGAATATGGAGGCACTCCTAATACCTTTAACAAGACCCGTTAGTTGATCAAAAGCACTCTCTTCAAATTCTATTTGTAGCTTACTACTTTGAGAAGTGCTTCTTGAAAATGTTTGCATGGAAGAGATTGTTAGTAAACTGGTCTCATAAAGTCAGTCACTGATTGAACTGAAATATTCACTTGCAATCTTTTATTGTAGGTCTAGAAAAGCATGTGCGTTTGGTATAAAGATGTCACTTTAGGTAATGACAGAATTCATTCTCACAATCACTGAGTTTTTTATCGAATACAGATGGCATTGCTCGCCCCAGCAGGCAAGTGGCTGGTTTAGTCCACTGGCCTGTTTGAGGCATATATATACTCTTATATCTTGTGCAGTCGCAAAACAAGGCCCATTATTATGCTTGACCATTCCTCTGGAAATGCCCGAGCAATAAATACAGTAACCTAGTGTAAATAAGTCAGTAAGTGATCATGAGTCATAAATATCAGATGACAACTCTAACCCTTTCAAATCATTGAACTGCCCATATGTGAGCCAAAGTTCACAAATGTATTTTTTGGAAGATAAGATATTCCAGTCTTAGCTTGCTGTGAAATTGGAGGCAGGATATGAATATTAAGGATCCAGTGACAGAGATTATGCATCACATTTGAATATTTTCAGCCTAACATCAGCAGAAAAATAAGGATATTTAGCCTGGGCCAAAAAAACGTTCTTATAAAAAAGGACAGTACCAGTGAAATTTTACATTACATAGAACACTATTGAGTTGGGTTAGTGTGACAAAACATAGGAGAAAACCGGCACATTGACCGACAAAGGAAAATTGATTAGTTATTCAGATCTAGAAGGTACTGAGAAAATTAAAGAACCATAAATCCTCATTTAGCCTGAATAAAGAGCTTTACATTTCAAAAGAGGTTAAAGGAAATGCTCTTGCACTAGAGGGCAAATCCTGCTGACTATAAACAAAAACGATAGGAGAAAATCAATATGTGTTTCATGACCTCTCAGCAGTGTGAAACAACAAAACCAAATAAGCAGCAGAAATCACATATTTAATTTTGCCACAGTCTAAATTTAGAACCCTCCAGAGCATAATCTAGCCTTTAGAGAATTAAAGAGTACTAATTACAGGAACAAGCAGCATTTTGGCAGAAGCAAAAGTACATGTAATGCCTGCCAACCCCTTTTCACTAAAAACAATTTGCAAGAGGAGGGAAAGACAGCAATTTCCTGAGCATGCCTGCAGCTGATGAGACTTAAACCCCTTTAATCCTAATCACCATAGTCAGTGCTTAACTCTGGAATCCCTATTAGTCACTAATGTCTAATCAATACTGATGACATTGTTTAACCCTAATCACTATTTCCAGTACTTAACACTAACCTAATCACTATTTTCAGTATTCACCCCTGACGTGCCTATCTTGACTCATGACTCATTGACTCTTTCAAATCATAAAACAAGCTGAATGGAATTTACTCCACCGAAAGATATGAGTACATGTTCAGTACTATCTATAAGAGAATCACCTGTGACTAATCTTCTCTATTATTTTTCTTGTTATGTATTGGACAGGAACATGAAAGGGTGACAATATTCCTGGACATAATTCCCATTCAATGTCATACTCGTACCTGCCATCTCAAATTCAAAGTGACATCTGTAATGAGATTGTTGACATGCTGAACAAATTGCAGTTGACCACAATCCAGGATTTAAGGTGGGAGAATCACAGTGAAACATATTTTTCACCATCACATGGGTGAGGAGGTACACTGTAATGTTACACTTTGTCTGACCTTGCAGAAGAAGAAATAAAGACAGCTGGGTATACTGACAAGTTATCTGACCATGGATCCTATTCACAAAAAGGTCCTTGCAAGCAAGACTTCTGAAATAATGAAGAGGATTTCAAATCCAGTGATTTTATCTGCACATCTTGAAACAATATTTACTACTGGAGACTTGGAGGAAATCGAGTTGAAAACTTCACAACGTGGGGCTACCACTGGAACACAAACCATGCTCAGTTTACTGGAAAAGAGAGGACCTAAGGCTTTTACCCTTTTTATACATGCCTTACTAGATCCTGCCATTAGCTGTGCTGATTTGGCAGATGATTTGGAGCAAGAAGAAAGAAAACTACGAGGGGAAGCAGGTGAGTTCTTCATCCTTTGGAAAATTACTGCAGTAATTGCTAATGAGCAGCCTCACAAAGATGCAAGGCTGCTAGGCTGCGAGGCGGCAGCCTAATAGAGCTATGCGTGATTGTTCCTGGGACAGAAAAAATCTTGAATCGATGTAACATAGAGTAATGTAAGGTAACCATGACGTAATGCAGAAGAGAGAATGCATTGTTTTCGAGAGAACACGTGATACAGATTAGAGAATCCACGAGCTATGTGCCTGTTTGTGAGTCCCGTCACTACTAGGGCTATGTGTGTGAAAACCATGTGAAAAGGGTGTGAAAAGTGTGTGAAAAAAAGGAACCATGTGAAATCAATGTTGGGTTTTTATGTTCAAGTGGTGTAGTCGTAAAGTGTACGTACACTTGAAAAACTGTACGCACACTTTAAAACATATACATGTGAACAATTTTTGTCATATGTGTGAACTTTTTCCCCATGCAGTTTATTACATGTGAAATCTTTTCACGCATGTGAAACAATTTTGTCATGCATGTGAATTTCAAATTTCACATGCATAATAGATGCTATGTATGTGAAATTTTTCACATGCATGTGAACACTTTTAGGCATGTCAGAGTGAGCATGTGAATTTTTTTCAGGGCTTGTTAAATACAACCACTATGAACCATATTTTTATCAAAATGCCATGAATTTCTAGCGAATACCCCATGAAAGTCATTTCATGACCCATGAAAACTAAAAAATTAAATTTCATGCCTTTATTTCTGGCCATGAATTTTCTATGAAAGGTGCTCCTTGGTCTCATGGGCCATTGATAATCCAAGAAACACACCACATCTAGCATTCTATGGCTCATGGCTGATAAATATCAAACTAAGTTGACTATGAGGGTCATGAATTTTTGAAGAATAAGAATTGATAAGTTGTTAACCTAGAAAATTCGCCATACTATAATGAATCAGACCTTTAAGGCAAGTGATCACAACAAATGTGCTGTTACAAATCATCATCACATCACCAATAAAGGCGAACCCCAATATACCAAAGTGCCAAGCCCCAGAGAAGCCCTCTTGTAAAGCAGCAGACTGGAATTAATGTTCAAAGCTCTTTTCATGATCTAGCTTGCAACCAGATCTCTCAGACAATAACTGTATTAATTATTAGTAAATACACAAGCCGGCGACCAGAGTTCTGCCGGCTACTCAACTGTATATCACCGGCTACGCTGGTCATAACAATTTGCTCGTGACAAACAATCTCGATTGTGACAGCTGCCTGCTTTTCCAGAGTTGGCGCCTACTTCAAAACATTTTGAAACCCCTGAATGCACTGTACATTCTTCATTAGATTTGGCTTGATTAAAATCTATCGAGTTTCCAATCCAAATGTGCACCTTTACAAATATAATTATTGTCTTCATTGTTTGCTAGAGTATGCTACATAAATTTATGTATTTTATCAACTGTCTCATCTAAATATGTGGGTTGTGTATCTTACCGCTTGGTTTCCACCCAGAAAGATGTGTACCAAGATTTTTGTTGAGTGGGGAGGGCTAAATCCTGAGAATTAAACCATTCTTTCAACAGATCTTCATTGAGGACAAAGCGGACTTAATTTTATTACTCCATCAAAAAACTAACTTTGCTAATATATACGACATAGGTAACTACACTTTATGAATGTTTTGTTTCTTACTGTAACGTTCCTCGTTGTATAGTTGAAAGTCCACTTGAACATGCGAACAGTTCCTTGCATTGCTTTGCATGTCGTTCGTTCAACGAATGATTCCTTGAAGCTAATAACTGGCATGCTCTTGATTTGCTTAAGTTGTCTTTGGTTCAATCAGCTTTCCGTACCTGAACTTGTCCAACATGAACAACGTCCACAACACGTACAACTTTGATTCATGTAGTGAAGTCCAGCATTTCCTTAAATCCTCAACGGTTTCCCAACTTGAAAAAACAATGTTAAGTTTTTTTCTTGCTTCTAACACTTCAAATGCGCTGGAATATTCTAATCAATGCTGAAAATAACCGCTTTTTCGACTCAAACGAGTGCACTTTCTCCATCGCAAGATTAGCCGCCATGTTTGTTGTTTCCCAGGCTTCCCTGTGATTTTAGCACATGCGCGATTTGATTTACGATGTCACGTGGGGCTTTTGAACCAATAGAAGATTGTAAAATGAAGTTCAAATTCACGCGGACTTCACAAGCAACACAGCTTTGCAAACAGAATAGTTTCGTTACTTTCGGATAAATAGAAAGACTGTCTTTCAATAATGCGCATGTGATTTTCGAGAGAAAGTGATCAATTGCGAAATTCTTCACATAAAGCATGTTTCCAAGTCAGCAACTCACCTGGATTATTGCACGAAGGTATGTTCTTCTTGTTATCGTGGTTCGTTAACATAAGCTTACTTTGGTTTTCCAATAACTTTACGAAGCTTAAACCTTCAAAGATACATCTTAAATTTAAGATGCATGTACAGATATGCCATTGATTGATTCCTTTTTGTTTACTGCAGAAAAAACTGTACTCTTTGTTGCAAATCGTCAATGGAATACTCTAAAAATTTTATGTTCTGGCGCTAGTAGGCTGTGGCAGACTTGTCAAGACCAATGTTAAATAAAATAGGAGAAGAAATAGCATAAGTTTCCGATATGCATGCAATGTCTACTACAAGTTGGAAGCAATTAAGTTTCCAGTTAATTTATAATGACTTCAGAGTTGCCTATAAAATTTGAGTAGGTTTGTTTATTTGAGCTTCGATTCATAATATTCATACGTCTGCAATAAGGTAAAAAATAAAAGGCACCTCTATCTAGTCTGATGTGTGGACTTTCAGTTCAGAAAGCTGTTCAGCGACTTGTAAAGAAGCAGTCATTTAGCATTATTTTTTTTTCCATATACATGCTAGTATTATTCAAAGATGCTTATTTACTTTGTCTTTTCACTGACATTGAGTGCTAGATTGCTTTTCTGTAACTTAGTATATACATTTGTATGCCTTAATAAGTGGAAATTGCAAATTGGCCCACCATGTCATTTACTATCATAATTATTACAATTTATAAGAAATATTTCTAACCAAAAATTAGTATATTATTAGTTATTTTATTGATGTAGAAATTAAAGGTATAAAAAGTGAGCATGATATTAAAAAGTTTTGTTGTAATTGTCTGTTGCGTAGTTGGTTTGTTTACACTCGCAGGGTAGTGAAATTCCATAGCCATTGATGATCTCGGATCACTGAGGATTTACGTGTGAAAGCTCATGTGAAACCCCATGTGAAGTGTATGTGAAATAATGTGTGAATTACTGGATGTTTTGCCATTCAGTGAGGATTAATTACATGTGAAAGCCTATGTGAAACCCCATGTGAAGTGTATGAAAATATGTGTGAATTTAAATGAGGATTGACACGTGAAAGCCTGTGTGAAACCCCATGTGAAGTGTATGTGAAAATGTGTGTGAAAGGGTTGACATCATTTCACACCCTTTTCACATATATTTCACTATGCAAAATTTCACATGCATGTGAAAAATGTGTGTGAAATGCATGTGAAAAGTGTGTGAAAAACGTGTGAAAAACATGTGAAATGAGTGTGAAAATAGGACATTTTTCACACGTTTTTCACATGGTGTTTCACATACATACTCCTAGTAGTGNATTGACACGTGAAAGCCTGTGTGAAACCCCATGTGAAGTGTATGTGAAAATGTGTGTGAAAGGGTTGACATCATTTCACACCCTTTTCACATATATTTCACTATGCAAAATTTCACATGCATGTGAAAAATGTGTGTGAAATGCATGTGAAAAGTGTGTGAAAAACGTGTGAAAAACATGTGAAATGAGTGTGAAAATAGGACATTTTTCACACGTTTTTCACATGGTGTTTCACATACATACTCCTAGTAGTGCGTGTTCATCCCGTCTTCAACCAATCCTTGGGTGGATCATTTCCATCCTATGCAATATCTGTCGCATTTGCCCCCTGGAATTTTTTATTGCATGCTGCTAAGAAAAATAATAACGTCGCGAAATTTTTTGTGTCTTTGAAGCAAACTAATTCGTAAGGCTTCATTGGGGCACCATAAATTTTTTTGCTTAAAAAAGAGACCAAAATAATTAATATAAGTCTGTGCGTTGAATATTCGCAGACATTAATATGATTTTTTGAGGATTTTAAGTTTGCTTATAAGTTCACTAAATTTTACGTAAAATGACTTGGACAAAAATACAAACTTCAAAATCTCGAAAAATTTGCTATGTAAAGTCGGGATTTCAAATTCTTTATGCAGTAGAGCAGTTTCGTTTACTATTTTCAAGGGACAACTTAAAGTAAAGGGCATACATACACCAAACCCATGATCCACCTTCCCCGTGCATGTCATGGGAGAACTGTTGTGTGGTTCCCAGCCAACAGCTCCCCCATGTGTTGGCACTTGAAGGACTCCCCTCGGCAGGAAAGGGTCTTTTATAAATGGGTTTGCCTGTTTCACTGACCGTCGGCTATGCCATGCTGATGACCCCCAGTAAGGCGAAACAGCTGTCCATGGCTCCCACTGCCTGTGTGATATGGCTGTGGACATGTGTAAGGTAATGACCAGGCCGTGGGTTGGTGTATGTTTGCCCCTTGCTTTAATTTACTGGTAACTCATTATCCACCTTCCCTGCGCACGTCGTGGTAGAACTGCTGTGCGGTTCCCACATGTGTTGTGTGGAGCTGGCGCTTGATAGACTGCTTTGCACTCACCTCAACAGTAAGGGGTTTTTTGACGCAGGTTTTCCCCGTTCATTAACTCAGTGCCTTTGCCACGCTGGTGAGCCCCAACATGGGCGAAACAGCTGTCTGTGGCTGCCACTGCCCCTGTGATATGGCTGTGCCCATGCGTGAGGTACTGGCTCGGCTGTGAGCTAGTGTGTGTGTGCCCCTTGCTTTAAGTTTGCATTATTTTCGAGGTAATTTTCGCTAATGCAATCAAATTAAGTTCAAGCTATTTTTCATCAATTACTGTATGTTATGGCATTTCTATACAAATTCAACAGCGCGCGTGTATAGGTAGAATCTTTTCTTGTTGGCACTTAGTGATAGCTATAACTAGTTAAAATAAGATTGTAAGCCACTGCATTGTAGTGCTGCTAAATACTCTTCTTGAGGCTTATAGATTGAATAAGCTGGTATGTCAGCTTGTATCTTCAATCAGTTGTTTTCACTATAAAAAATGTAGCACAAAAGTGGGTTGCTTCTTGAGCTTTTTTTTGGGTGTTTTTAGTTTGTGCTTCATAAAGTTGATACAGCCATGTAAAAGTAACCTGAGATCAGGCCCAATTATAGCAAGTTTCATTCTCTCTTTTTACGTGCCGCACGTCAGGACATTTACTTACCAAGCAAAATGAAAATAGAGCCTGATCTCAGGTTACGCAAAAACTTAGGTGAGGTCAACTATAAGGAAGGTTGCGAAGAGAAGAACGCAGAAAACGTTAGTTTGCCCAGCTGTATATCTTACTTAACGATTACAAACAAAAAACACACCAAAAAACAACCTGCACTTTTTGTATGATAATGAAAATGAGTAACAAAAAATATCATCTAGCTAGCTACAATATCCTGGACAAAAGTCCTTGGGACAGTACTGCAATATTCATATTTTTCTGTCATTTCTCCAATCGGTTCCCTCTTAAAACAGTGCATCCTTTACGAAATTCTCTTGTAGTTCTCCCTCCCCGCAGCATCCCATATGCATGCCCTCATTCATTTTGTAGTTATTGATTTTATTACATGTGTATTAATTTTTTTTGAATGGTTGTAAGTCCCATGATGGGGCCACCAAGTTCATGCAAAAACCCCAAAATTCATCCTTGTTCTCAAGGTTCTCGTCCTCTCTTTCTTCCCTCCTTCCTCCCCTCCCAAAATCTGTGAGATTTGCCATAGAGTGGTGAAAGCATCGCACTTGTCCTTTCTGATTATTTTTGGAATTTGTGGAATTTTTGCAAAATTATGTGCATGCACAATTTAGAAAGAATAAGGTATTGATGTGTGTTGTATTTATTGAAACATCTATTTGGTCTAATAAGAGCTGAGTATACCATATTATGCATTTATGCAGAGTTTTATATAGAGAATATTACACGGTGGCGAGAAGATATGAATTTTATGTTCGAGTGGCAAGAACAATATCTCACGAGTGAGCGCAGCGAACGAGTGAGATATTGCTCTTGCCACGAGAACATAAAATTCATACTGATGACGGCGTTTTTGATGATTTTCCGAAGATTTCCGACCACCTTCCGAAGATTTCCGAAGATTTTTCAAATTGTCCCGAAGACCAGACGAACGTTCCCGAACATTTTCCGAGAATTTCCGAAAATATCCGAAGATGTCTGAAGATTTCCGAAGATTGCCGAGCACTTTCGAGGAAGACCCGAAGATGTTTCGATGATACACCAACGAATTTAAGTACAATTTAAGAGACAAACCTGATGACATTGAAATTATCGATATCTTCACATGTGAGAATATCATATCTTCACATGTGAGGATATCGTATCGTTTTTATCAATTTGTTACCACTCGGTATACCACTGACTTTTATGTAATAAAACAACATATTAAATGAAAGAAGAAATTGTGAAGCATTTAATGTGTTGAGACAAGCAACTTAAATTTGTTATAAGTATTGCTAAAGTTGCGTGTATATGTTGTGGTTCAATTTTATCCCTGGTTTAAATTTTATTCCCCATTGTTTTAAGCTCATTATCATACATTACCATACCCCAAAACAAAGGGAAATAAAATTTAAGCCACGGATGAAATTGAACCACAACATATATACATGTAAGTATTATAATTATTAGATGATTGTTCTACAAATGATGACTTTCTTGAAAATATTTTATTCTTGGAGGTCAAAATTTGTTGACGACAACAGCTCTGTTCAATTTAGTACATTTCACCATTGGTTGTGCTTTGCAAACTAATAATACATCATATGCCGTACATGTACACTGTTACATACCTCTCTAGGGCTCTTCTGTTAACTCCTGTTGTCAAATTTTAATACAAGTTTGATTTAAATTGATTAAACAGGGGCTTTAATAAGAGAAGCGACCAGTGCTCCAGCATCACCTTACCAATGGCCAGACATTTATGATTCTGCAGGAACTTTTAACTTTGAACAAAAGGAAGTTACCCGAGGTAAGCCCATTGATTATATTAAGAAATCTGTGCTCTTTCTTTGCCCTGAATGCACTACAAATTAATGTTACTGGGAAACGAAACTTTTGTCTTCCAATCAGATGCTTTAGGTCAGGTCCAAAATCCTTGACCAAAATGCATGTCTAGTCCAGGTGCCTTATCCAATCTGGGACTTTTTCCATCGTGATGTCACTTATTCTACAAGGTTATGGGCATAACAGACTGTACTGCAATGTTGATTTCCTCTTTTTGTCAACTCATTTAGGACCAATCTGCTTGCGAATCTTCATGTCAACATTCGTCCAAATTACTTCTGTTTAAGGGAGCTTCCTAGGTTCAAGTTTGGTCAGTCACTCAGCATACATGTAAGGTGTCATCCTTAATTGGTGTACTGCCCCTTGTTGGTAATGGTTGAACTAGCCAAAGCGATAGCACCATTTCCAGGCTTCTACATGAAGCCCAGTTTGCATCCATAATGCCACTTTGACACAGCACCAAGCCTGTGTGCTGCGCTTGTTGTGGTCAGTGTTTCAAGCCATTTTTGGCCATGGGTGGGGCTGTCAGACTCCATGGTATCGGTATTATCATGCCTCTCCCTTTGGGCCTTTTCCCAGTGTTTTCTTGTTTATCTCTTAGCATGTGTAATATCAAAGTGCCTTTTTGTCATCTGGGCTGAGCAGCCTTATGCGATAATTTAAGTATGGAACACAAGGCTGAAGAGCCTCTAGTTTAGTGTGTGGACCATATAGATTGAGCTTTATCATATTCAGGGTTTATGGTGTAAAAACCACTATTTTTATAACAACTATTGTATCATTAAACATGATTAAACAACCATGACCTTCAATAGCAAATCATTGCTCTGTCATTCTTAATCTCATCACAAGAAATTTGTAATCAAGTGACCACGGCATTGCTGTTTTTGCATAAATAATTGCATACTCATGTTCTTTGTTTGATAAAGCTGTGTCCAGATTGAAGCCTATTGTGTGCATTACTGATTGAAGAAAAGAAACAGTTGCACATTATATAACAAACCTCTATTTAATAAGTCCTTTGTAACAATATGCTTCATCTTAGCAATAGTATGCAATGGAAAGAACCTTGATAACCTCATTATAGCGAACATATTTGTTAACCAGCCTGCTGGCCCTTCATTATATCAAGGTTCCACTGTGATGTTTTTGTCAAGTCTAGAACGCCTACTCATGCATCGTTTTTATCTTTTATGTATTTTTCAGATATTAAAACTGAAAAAGTACTTTTATTCGGGCTTACATGTGTAAGTTTTAGTAATTAATTGGTTTGTTTGATTAAATTTAGGTTCTCTTGTTAAGGACATGCCTTTTACACTACGCACAAAGATTGAATGGATGATGAACATCAATAACCAAAATGACCATAACTGGAGGGGTCTGGCTGCAGCCATGAGTTTGTCAGTTGATGAGGTTCGACAAATGGAAGAAGGAAAAAATGGGAAAATGAAAGGACTCTTTTATAACATGATACACACCAAAAAAACCATTAAAGATTTGCTTGACTTGCTGAAACATCCTGCTGTTCAGAGACTGGATGTCATAGATGAAATTGTAGAAGGTTGTGGTCTTCCAAAAGAAGTGTCAGAAAATGAAAGCTCTGAACTCGATGAAACAGGTTTGTTTGTTTGTTTGTTTGTCTTACGTACTAAAGCTGTTTATGAGCTACTTTTTATCTCATGAATGCCCGAATTTTCACTGTGGTTGAGATATGCAAATGAGTCACTCACATAGGGCTCGCTCTGAAGTTGACCAATATGAAAACGACATATTGTCGAGAGAGGGAGACATAATTATTGTGGAGAGGGAGGGAATTCAAGAATGAGGAGGGAAAATAATAACATGGTGGAAGAGGGAATAAAAACATTGAGGAGGGAAAATGATAAAATTGTGGAGGAGGGAAAAAAAATTTGAGGAGGGAAATTAATGAATTGTGGAGGAGGAGGAAAATGAAAAGGGAGATGGGTAGGTAACGAATTGTCTTTCGTGCTAAAAAGAGCTAGTTTGCCTTTGCGCTCATTAATATGCACGGTTTGCGCGCCAAAAATCAGTGAACCGGAACTAGGACAATCACAGCAGCAGGAAGTAGGACTTGCATAATTACGTTGCGTCTCAGTGATTTTAAGTCACAGACAAGTTTGACTTTACGCCTCAAACACTATGAATTAACCAATGAAACCGTTTCTTATTTTCTAGCTAACCAATCGAAAACGAAGACGTTTATCGACCTTAAAGCAACTGGAAAACCTAAAACAACTAAAAATAGCACGACCTTATCTTTACAAGGTTCCTGCGCATTTTATTCATGAGATAAAGACAAAAGGTTATGACGTCATTGGCGTTAATTTATTCCACTTCAAACTAATGAGATTCCACTTTAAAAACCAGGAGTAACCGGTGCGCCCTATACTACTGGTCAAAGATTGTTCGAAAAATGGGGCCAGTAGAAGAGCGAGAAGGGGGTCTCGTTCCATTTTTTGCGCGGCCAAAACCGATCCTTTCCCTCGTTGTTCCTCGGTCTTTCTTTGCTCCGAAACCACGCGGAAACGCTTGCCACGCAGGCTACAATCAGGACAAAAGTAGTTGACACACTTGTTTAAAACGGGTGCTTTTATCAAACATTTAATTCATTTATTACTTCATTCCTTTCAAACGCCGTAAATCCCCTCACCCCCCAAATCAATGTTGTCTGAAGTAAAGAAAGACTTGAGGGTGCAAAAATACAACATTGATTTTGGGGGGAAGGGGTTGGGGTAGACAGGGGAAGAGGATAGGTATGTCCACTATGCAAAAACGGGCCATTTTACGGAAGTGTCTCAACACTTTTTTCCCTCATTGTAGCTCATATTCAATAACCCTCATTTTGGCCTGCGCCTTTCCACTTGTTTACTTAAACTTAGCATGTATCTCGAATAGCTCTCGGTAGTCTTTCCGCTTGAAGTAAATTGCATCCTTTCATAGCCGGTAATCTTGGAAACTTATCAAGGCGTTGAAGTGTATACTATATACGTAGCCTTCAGTATCTTCCATTAGTAGTGTATATAAAAATGAAGCACAAAAGTCGGTTGCTTCTCGAGTAGGTCTAGTGGCCTGGGTAACATGTAGTTAGTGGCTTTTTTTAATTTAGAAAATGAAATTGTGAATACTCGAAGCGTGTGTTGACAGGCACATCATCATTTCAACAGAGAACAAATGTTTCATTTTACTTCATGAATTCTTTTCTTAAAACAATACTTTCACGAGTTTCCCAGGTTTTACTTTGATTTGTGTACGTATAACATTTCCACAAACTTTTTACTTGCCTTTGAATGGGAGCAATTGTCATAGTGACAAATATGATTGATGGATCCTAAAATAATTGATATCTTGCCAGACCTTTTTGTATGCCTAGTAGAGACAAGCAAGTCAACAGTAAGCAGCATAGCAATGCATGAAAAGCGCAATGTTGCTTTGCTAAGGTGGCTTGATCCGTTTTTTTTAGTGATAATACCTATAACTCTCTCAAACATGAACTGGAAAGATGCCTTAAACGAAACAGGAAATCTAACTGTACCTACAGTACCTGTAGGGCATAAATAAGAGTTTCAGAACAGTCATTCTTTATCGGCTATCACCTGTTGAACCTGCTTATAGGACTTGAAGTTCATATAGTTTTCTTGAGTTGAACCAGTTTTAAGCAATTTTGTTGTAGCATTTCCGAGAAGTCTGAAATTTATGGCTGCTGCAGAAAAAGAATCATAAACCACGGGTTTTGCGTTCAAGAAACTCTGTCCTTAGGAAGTAAACTTTTTCAAATTGTTCGTAGAGTTTTCAGTGATAATAATAATGAATAATAATAATAATGATAATTATTATTATTATTATTAATTATTATAATTAATAATAGTAATAATAATATTAATATAATAATAATAATAATAATAATAATAATAATTATTATTATTATTATCATATTAACGTAGCGCTGTACAATTTCTACCATAAAGTAACTAAAGGATATGGTTATAGATATATGAAATAAATGTGTGAAGATTTCATATTTACTAATGTGATATAGGAAATCTCTGAGCTCTGAGGCCTTCTTAAAAGTAATGGTTGAGTGCGCAGCACGAAGTTATTACTTTTAAGAGTGCTGAGGTGCGAGGGCACTATCCGATTTAATGCACCTTTCCATTGTTTTAGAATTAGCACGTCATTATTGTGGCCATCGAAGTGAAACAGTACGTTATTATTGGTAATAATGACTTCCCGTTCCACCTCACTGATCTGCTCTTCCATTTATTGAAAATTATAATATATGTTCAGACACAATGGAAAGTTGCATTAAATCTATGTATTTAGTAAATAAGTAAGAAGACAAACAAAAAGGAATGGCTAAATAAAAGAGTTTCCACTCTGCTCTTAAAAGTACTATATTAAAACATGCGTAGGTTATTATAATGTGATCATGCAATTACTGAAAAAAGCACGCTTTCCATGGGATTCAAGATTGTACTTCAGGACCACTATCAGTTCTTTATTAGCAGAGAGTAGCTTTCTGTTGGTCCCCTCCCCATAAAGCATAAAGTATCCGTAAAATGTTTAGGTTGAAGTTCATACAAAAGGTTTGAATGCCGAAATTAAAATCAGTTAGAGAAAACCCGCCAGCAACAAATTAATCCAAATCTTGGCTCGTATCAACAAGAGCTGAGTTACAGTGTACTTGACTTAAATTCAGTATGTTGCACACCAAAATGTCTTTCAAATTACCTGAAAATTAGAGGTCATATAAATTACAACATAAACTAAGGTCAGCGGTGTTTCACGGTAATCCATCAGGGGGGAATGTGAAAATGGTAATGGTATCACCGTGTTGCCATGGATATGCCAATCTCAAAAATGCTGACTTTTTTAACACTCTAATTTATACCCTAAAAGTAGGTACAGTTAGATTCCCCACTTTGTAATCTTATTCCAGAATGCAATCAGTCGAACGCGCTCTTATATCTAAGGGCGTGTTCGATTGACCGCCGCATTCCGGAATACCAATAAGTGGAATAAACTCTCGGCGTTCATTGCATTGGAATTTCTAGAAATCTGCTTGAAACAAATATTCCGCCCTATGTAGTGTTTAATTGGCCAAATTACGGCACAAGAGATTTGCCAAAAAAATCTCTGCATATTCTTATTCTGGAAAACGATCAATCGAAAGCACTCTAAATTGATCTGAAGAATCATCCCTATCTTTGTCTCTCTATTTCTCGGGATACGACCAGCTATTCATTCAGCATGGAAAACATTTGACCACTTCATCCCAATACACGTCTATTATAGGCGTCTTGTTGCTTGTACATATATTCTCAGTTGTCTTATTAATTTGTGCTAAAGGATAGTAATGTCAGTGTCTTATAAATCAACAAAAACGTGAAAACTCCGTAAATAATTTGACACACCAAATTTCGTTATAATGTAATAACAATCTTCACCAATTTCCAGTATCAATCGATAAAATCTCTTGATCGATACCCATTTTATCGATTGATTATGTTGGGGGTTTTGATGCATGCAAAACTGTAACATCATCATGAACAATAGGCTCCCATGGTCTAGAATCGAGACGGATGGTTGATGTCGTTGCCAGGTAGCCGGGGATTATGAAGCTGCTTCTTTTATACAGCCAGTCCCATAATCTAGCCATAAAAAAAAAAAAAATTATACCAGACCAGTTTCCAGGCACAACAAATATCTTGCTGAATTCTTGCTCATGCGTTGTTCAAATTGTGACGCTTGTGCCAGGGTCAGTGATAATTGTTTGGCTCAGTGTCGCTCGTTTGTCAGGCCAGAATCGCGTATTTGTCTTGCCCGGAATTTTTATGCGGAATTAGTAAGGCAAAAAGGAGGAAAGAAAGCAGTAGATTAAAGGTAAATGAGCTGTATCCGCCGGGACTACGAACTGCCGACCGGGTATAAAATGCCCTGTGTATAAAACACGGACTAGAAGCTGCGCTCTGTTCGACTTTTTTGTTTTGCTGTCCAATTTTATCAATTTGTCAAATTGTACTTCCCTTTAGATCCAGAGCTGAAAAGAAAGCTTCAATTTGATGGATGCTTCTTGCATCCTGAGAAGTATGATCCGGTGAAGTTCCTAGGATCTGGAGGATTTGCTAAGGTACTTTAGGTTTACTAACTGAAATATTTTGTGCCTATCGGTAGTAGCTCATCATCTGACCCATGTGCACCCAAACTAAACTCTACAAAGGTACGTACATGTACAGTAGAGTGAGTGATCTGAGGAGGGCCACAGGACTGTTGTAGGAACTTAGTGCTTTAGGAAATTTGCTGGGCGGCCAACAAGTGGACAAGCAAAAAGTTATCTTGTCAACTTATCCCAGCTGTGAAGTTGACTCACGAGATTTACAACGTCCATGATTGTTAAGTACTGTGAAAAAAACGAGCAGAAGCGTATTATCAGGTATAAAAGCTTTAGACGGAGCCGAGAGTTTTTAAACCTGATAATACACGAGTGTGAGTTTTTTGAACGGCTTCAAAATCTCTGATAAAGATCAACTCATTTTTGCACTAATATTTAGACTTGGGGTTATTTTCCTTTAAAAATGGGACGTAAAGTTTAGTGGTGTCTCTATTAGATATAAAGACACTCATTAAACATTAATTTCTTTTTTTTTTTATGAATTATTAATGAGTTTTGAATAAAGTTACTGTTTCATCTACAATGAATTTAATTTAAGGTGTTTCGATACACGATTTTTTTCACTCGCCTTAAGATCGCTATAAAATGTTCACCACTAACTGACACTGGATTGAAGTATGTCAAAATGTAGTTTTAAGTAAAATCGATATCAATAAACAAAAAATTGAAAGCCGAATTTTGCGCAATCTAGACCTGCAACTGAAAATCCGACAGCAGGAACTTGAAGTGTGGTGTTTAGCAAATAACCTCCTAGCTTACATTATTTATCAAAATATTCAGTCCCATAAAAAAAAAACGTATGCACATTTCATTCGACAAGAACTCGAACACAGAATTTTATACAGATGATATACTGAGCAGTTTAAACTCCATTTTACAGATATGCACAAGAGTAAAATAGAATACTAAGAGGTATGATAATTAAAGGGAATAAAATGTCATTTTAACAAACTTTACCCGTTTCAAGCTTAAAATGTCTACTTCCTCTTTTGGCTTCGTCGCTTTTTTCCTTTCTTCTGTTAAGTACGATCAACTTTTCCCACATTTTCGGTGTTTGCAACAGATATCCCTTTGGCTTACTGGTAAAGTTTAAGCTTTGGAATCTTACTATTTTTGAGATTTCTATCGTTTTCCAACGACTCAGCGGCAAATTAACTCTGTTTGTTTTTGTTTTTGCAAAGAAGTTGACCCGCATTAGGCTTGCAATCGTGCTCGTCCCAGGGCCGTCGGGGAATACGAAACTTGCCCACGACTATTGAAAATATAAGGTTTGAAATATATTTACGTGTTATTTTGACAAACTTCAGTCCAGGGCGGATAAAGGTTGGGCGGTGAAACGAGCGCGTCCGAGCAAAAAGGTGTGATGCAGTGGACTGGGACTCTGCTTAGAAATGTCGCTTGTTTTCGACTTCGGTCAGGGCTTGCGATATGATGTGGTTTGTACATTAGACACTGCCGCTGTCACTGAATTATTGTGGCTTGAATTGTTTTCTTGCACTTCTTCCTCGTTCCTTTGTGCTGGTACGCTGTCTCCGAGAGGCAAATGTTGCTATTGTTGCGGGAGGTTTAGTTGGAGTAGACAAACATCTCTTTCAAAGGGTTTCTCTTATTACTTCCATGACTCTACCGCTGAATTATATTTTCGTTCTGCTACTCGCCAATGTCGATGCTATTCCAAAACAAAAACAACTAAGTACTGTCTAAAACACGACGGAAAATCTCATCCATGTCATCCATGGCAAAACTAAAAGATAGCAGATCGTGTTTCATAACTAGATGATTTGTATTTTATAAATGCGTGCAGCTTGTGCAAGGTGAAATTATGCTAATTTCAATCACCATCATCCTCGAAAACATCTCAGACGTCTTTTTGTTTCTACGAAACTTCAAAATTAGTTTTCCCTCAGTTTTTTCTGTTTACCTTGTTTTGTTTTAGAGAGAAAAACGGAGAAAAAACCTTACAACTAACCTCAATAAATTTTGTTTACATGCGGTTGCCGGATTTACAACGCATGGTGCGAATCGCCATGGCGCTTTGCACCCGAGCACCAAAGTTTGAAGAAGTACAACGCCACTATATCAATATATATCAATCTAATTTTTTGTTATGTTATACAAAATTTATCCTCCTTTAACATATGTAAAAATTGAGGTTAAGAAGTGTTAAGCTTTTGCAAACGAAACGGCGGAAGACGATTAGGTGATATTTAGTGGAAGGAGGAGGTATTCGACACTTTCAAATTAAACTCAAATTTTGGCATTATACGACCAACAAGTTTGACTTGTAGACGTACAGACACAAACATATGAAACTGTTTATTAATATTGTTATGAAACGAATTATCTATTTAACACTGTAGCATGAAATTACAGAAAGAAAATAGGATTTCCGGTTTGCAAAAAGGAAAATTTCGCCGGCATTGAAGCGCACCGGAAGCGCGGAAAGAGCGCTCGTGCCAGTCCTACTTCGCATCACATGCACATTAAATGAAGAGCGGAGCGCTCGTTTCACCGCCCAACCTTTATCCGCCCTGCTTCAGTCCAATGTCAATCAGTGGTGAAAATTTCATAGCGATCGGACAAGGATAAAATCACTTTTAAGGCGATTAAAAAATAAGGTTATGGTCACCGAAAAACTGCGTCGAAACACCTTAATTTAACACATCATTCCAAGGTTGTCGTTTTTAAGTTACCAATGAATTGAAAGGGGCTAAGTATGCAAAAAATCTAAGTTATATGCACAAAGATAGAAATATCTGCAAGGAAGAGTTTAGCTGGAAAATTTTAAATCGACGTCTTCTTGAAGAAGTTCTGTTCCCAGGCCCAGAACAGGTAATTCAAGGCCATGTCACTTGTCAGAATTGACCTTAACAGGGCCTCGATATCACATGGCGACGCAGAGATATGAAATATGTCTCTTCCAGATTTGAAAAATATTTTACAAGTGAGCACAGTGAACAAGTTAGTTATTAATATTTTTCAGCACGTGGAGAGAAATAATTTTTTGTATCTCCAAGAGGCCATGTATTGTTGTATTTTTTATATAAACACCAATGAAATACCAAACTACTTCACTTTACAGTAGAACCTCGATATAACGAACTGCCAAGGGACTGGCAAAATATGTTCCCTATAACGAGGTTTCGTTATATCGAGGTTCTTTTTCATATATTTGACTATTACTGATCATGATTACTGGGATGAAGAATATCATTCGTTATACCAAGGACTTCGTTATACAGAGGTTCGTTATATCGAGGTTCCACTGTCATATTTTTTGCTTCGAAAGGTGCAATTTATTTTTTAGCCATTGCAACGGTGATCTTTGTGCACATGTGAAGATAACATGTTATAATATTTTTACATGTGAAGATATCATGTTTTTGTGTGAAAGCTCACCTGGCATTTCATTGGTGTATTTAAATAAAATGATATTTTTTTTTTAGTCTTTTTTTTTTTCTGAAACACTGAAATATTTCGGGCCAAAGTGGTGGCTCACTTCCATGATCAGAATACCCCAGGGAAACTTTTAGACTTTCACCTAATCAGCCCTTGATTTATTTCTTATTTGACAAGTCTAGGAATTTACTTAGTCTCCAATTTACAATGCATCATAGATTAACAAAACAACTTAAAGTTTTAATTTAGAGGCTCTGTAAGGCCCCGAACTAGGAACTAGGCTAGTTTTCATTAGTTATGAAATTTCATAAGGATTATGCGATCCAGTGCAATTTTGGATCATAATTAGTAGGGGGAGGGATGTCTACAGGAACACTTCCAGGAAAAATTAATGTGATTCTTCATTTGAAGTCTCTGGACACAGTTAAGTACAATGAAAATTTCACTTCTGATTAACAATATTTGTGAAGTTCCCTTAAAGTTAAAGTTTGGTTAACTCTTAGAATTTTAAGGGAAAACTGAGGCTTGATATTCTCATAACAGGTCTATCTTGTGATTGAAAAACGAACAGGCAGGAAAATGGCTTCTAAAATGTTTGATCTGGGGGCAAATACAAGTAACACACAACAGGTAAAAAGTTATAACTACAATTTGTAGCAATATTATCGTTTCGTTTATAGTCAAGGCAGTGCAAAAGTCTTTTTGTGTTCATTTTTCTTGTCCATGATCGTCACTTGGGTATTTCTTGGATTTTGGTTTGCTGGTCTGAATATGAAGTTCTCTTGTCCAAAAAATCCCTACTTCACTGTCCCCAGAGTAAGTAATGAAGGCGTGAAGTGAGATTTTCGGAGGGATTGAGTGAACAAAAGATTAAAAATAGTAAAGGTCCCCATTTTACATTGGTAACCTGTAACAGTCATGATTTGACTGACAAACCTGAGGCTGATGGCACACTCTTTTTTTTTTTTTTTTTTTTTTTTGCGGGTTTTTTAATTCCCTTTTTTTTTTTATAGAAAAGATTTTTTAAAAAAATCAAAATGCGCTTAGTTTTTTTTTTGTTTTTCGCCCCCCCGAGAAAAGAATTTGGGGTGCCCCCGTAAAACAGGCCAATTTTTTTTTTTTCTTTTTTTTTGGGTTTTTTTGGGGTGTTTTTTTTTTTGTTTTTTTCATATTTTCACTTTTCATACCAGTAGTATATATCCACGGTCTAGCCAATTGTCCTGTATGTCACGCAAATATATAAATAGATCGGGTAATTATCACTATAATCTGCAATAATCAATTTTTTTAGCCCAAAAGTGGAAGTTTGAGTCATAATAATATTACAATAGAAGAAAAGAACGGAAATTAGATAACACATTATCTTTTAACAGAAATTTAACAAATGTTTAGGCAGCGATTCTTACATAATTTGCCATTTGTCATTATGCAAAATAAACATCTGTAAAAAAGGGAAAATTAACTCCGGCATATCTTGGATTTACCACTGAAAAGAATAACTCTAAGATTTTAAAACGTACCTTTTGTAGCCCATGGTTATCTATATCAATATTTCCTCCTTTTAGAAAAAGAAAATAACAAAATCATTGGACCCTTTCATGGCTACTGAGACAGACAACGCGTTGGAACGAGAATAGTTATTTACCTTTGTCTCGCGGAAGTCGTTTGTCTTCAGATAACATGGGGTAACAAACCTATGTTGAGGTCGCTATGAAGGAGAAATACGGTGAAAGAGGATAATTCCCTTGAATCGCAAACTTTATAGCGAAACATTAAATTAAGTCGAGGTTGGACAATTTAGAGGACCACTATGAGTCTAAACAATAAAGGTTTTTACTCTAAATGCTCAAATACGACTAGAGGCCATACCGTACCGAGTCCTTGAAATTTCTTTCTTTTTTTCAGAGTATAACACGCTGACTAAGCAGAATTCTAACGATCGTTGTGTGATCTTCTGCGAACTAAATTTTAATCAAGTATACTGATTACAATTTTCGGATCTCAGTATAATTGGCTTGGTCTGAAATGGGTAAATGAAATTCGGCGTGTCAATATCAAGCATTCAAAAGTAAGAGGAAAGTGTTTGTCTTTTAATACTTTGGTTAATTTCTCGACGCAAACGTTGCTTCTAATAAAAGCCATGAAAATTTTAATTTTAAGCAAATACTCAGAAATTATAAGCAACCTAAATGTACATACAAGGGAATAAAAAAGTGTGCGGACTCGATAAACTGAATATTGAAATGTAAATCTGAACAACTTGTTAATGCCACATAACTAACTCGCAAATGTTTTCAATGAATATCTCTTGCTTCACAGCTTGCTCTGTTAACTGGCCAGGGTGATGTAAACCCTTCGCTGTATGTAACAAGCTACACCTCCGGGGCCAATAGGGAACCTTCCTGCCCGCTTGAGTTCGATGGAGTGTGCGTGTTCGTAAGACTTAATCATCAAAGTATGGAAAGGAAAAACAAAATACAGTTTTCTGTGGTCGAGATTCGCCCTAGATTATCTTTAAATCAAAATATTAACTTTTGTTGTGGCGGGGGTAAATATAATAATTTTTCGGATTCAAAATAATTCAGTAAAGCTTGCATCATGGAAATGATGAAGCCGGCTTCAATTTCGTGGCTGAGACCTCAACTAATAACTGTCCGTGAAATTTTGGGCCACATAAAACAAATGATATAATCTTCGTTTGGTTTATTTTTTATTCAAGATTATAAGTGCTCTAGGTTCACACAAATTCCCGTATTCCTCAGTGGGTTGTTCTGTTTTTTTGCCTTTATTATATAGAGTATAAAATATCCTGACAGATCAACTGGAAGCGTTTCGCAGTTAAAATTTTAAGTCCTAAAATTATTTTTTGAAAACATAATTTTAGGACCTAAAGGAAACAGAAGAACAGAGGAACCTCTTCTCCAGCATTTTTCAATACATCGCCATGGTAGTGGTGACAGTGCAGTGAATGAACCTACGTGCCTACCCTTCTCAGTTTCCGCATAAATCTTACAATTGACTACCTCAAAGATCTTTACTCCCTA